CCCGCCCCAACGCCCAGCTGATTTAGTGCCCCGTGCTGTCGGCCAGATTTGTTGCCGCGTTTGCCCCCGAAAGCCAAAGCTGAGCTGGCGAATTTTTATTGTTTTGATCCTGCTCGCGGTGCCTCCCCGGCGGGGGCACACGCAAAAAAACAAAAATCATTGTACCAACGACGAGAGTTGCACCTCCAACAACATTTTGTTCCTGGAACGGCTTGAGGAACAAAGGATGCTATTCCAACGACCATGATATGCTGGCTTAACGACATGGTCGGTAGCACAACCACCGGCTGTCATAGGGTTAGCAGCATCGTGACTTTGGACCAACAACTCGGCCACAAGAACACGGCGGTCGTTAGAACACTGTTTCTTTTTTTTTCAGTGCATTGCACGCCACCGAAGCGTTCTCGTGAGGGAGGTTGTCCAGTTAAGACGGATCCGTGCGGATCCGTGCGGACGCGCACGGATTGTGCGGAACTTTGCGGACGCACGTTTTAAAACGCATTGGCAGGTCTAAAAATGGTTGCATGTGTGTTCACTAACATATATTTGGAAAGAGGAACATTGTTCTACAAAAATAATGCCACTTTTAAGCCATTTTATTCTCGGGAGGTTTTCCTGTACTTGATAAACATATGGCTAAAAAGTGGCATTATTTTTGTAGAACAATGTTCCTCTTTCCAAATATATGTTAGTGAACACATATGCAACCAGTTTTAGACCCGCCAATGCGTTTTAAAACGTGTTTCCGCAAAGTTCCGCACAATCCGTGTGCGTCCGCGCGGATCCGCACGGATCCGTGTAAACTGGACAACCTCAGGTTCCCCGCAGCGAGGGTCGTACCCAACAGCTGATGTACGTAGAAACACGCCCTGTTAACGCCCTCTGAGGACTGCGTATCCTGCTTAGCTGTAGCCAAGCAAAATTCTGAAAAGCCTGTAAATTCTTTCGTAAGTTTGTAAATAATTTCTTTGCAAGAATTTCATAGAGTGCTGTCTTTTGGATAACTAAACGATTGATTCGGTTTTCGTTCGTTTCCCGCATAGGCGACTTGGAGATCCTGGTGTCCCTTGATCTTGATCCCCTGGAGGCCCAGCCTTCTTAGGAGGCCAGGAGCTGCTTGGAGCCGCGGGGAGGTGCCCCACGCCCCAAAGCAAGCCCTCCCAGCAGCAAGCCACTCCAATTTCTTACTCGGCCATCTGAGGGCTTGGCGGGGCGTGGCAGGGCGTGGCGGAGATGATGTCTGCGCGGCCAGGCGCGCTTCTTTACAGCGCTAATAACAATTAGAAAAGGAGGAGATCCGCGCCACCACCAACCTCTTGGTGAGGATGGAGAGAGAGAGAGAGAGGGAGGG